TAATATGTTTCCTGTTCTTAAGGTAAATCTGCTCGGTCAAAGCATTCAGAATCATCTAATAACATTGATGCTGATGGTGATGAGGATTGGTCACGGATTTCTCAGTTGCTTTCAAGGTACTCGGATCATATTCTAGATAATTTGAGAAGAAGGATCATACTCTGCATATGCTCTTGTTTTATTGAAATCGATCTGAACTTGTGTAAAACTTGAAATTCATGCAATACCTGGCTGATCCATTTAGAGCAGCAAAAAGAAACTTGAAATTCTTATCCCTGTTTTCTTTTGGAATTTCTATTAAATGGTAGATTCAAGTATCTTAGTATTTTTTTCTCTAACTCAATCCTATAGTGTATATAATTTTTATATTTTTTTATTAGGTAGTTGACAATTAATACCTCATTAACTGTTACAGATGAGATGTACCAAACAATAGTATTATAAAGTCGGTTGATATTTTGAATTCAACTTATGGAAGTGGAGTATATTAGTATGTTTGCTAATTAAAGGGGCTGGCAAAAGACCATGAAATGCATTTATCTTCCTTAAAAATTCTACGGCGACATATGTATACACTGAGATGTAATTATACTTGTGTGAAATTCTACTATCAAAAATCTTATACTAGCAGTCATGCTGCGACAAGTTCCCTTGCATGTTTTGTGGCATTTTGTTCTACTATGTTCAACATTTCATTATTGTGTGCATTAAAAGATTTTAATGCAATTCATTCTATAAGGGTAACTTTGTCTAACTAAGACCTTTCATGTTGTATCTTGTAGCATAGCTACTTTTAGAAACAAATCAATAGACAAATGGCAGAGGAAGACACAGGTGACCACAGGTGCTGCTGCTATTAAAAGCAAGCTGCATGCTTTTAATCAGGTTTGGCCCTATGATCGAACTTTGTAATCGACCTATGAGTGGACTTATAGCCATGCTTCGCCAGATATTCAACAGGAATGAATTTTCCTTTCCAATTGCAGAATATCACTGAACAAGTTGCTTCTTATATGAGAGAGATCCAAGCAGAATGGTTAAGCAGATGCAGATGAGGCGATCGGCAGTTGGTGTATTTGGCACTGTAAGATATTAAAACTTCCCTCTAAATTGAGTTCCCAAGGTTGCATGGGCATGCTCAGACAGAATTGTGCTTCATTTATAACATCATAACAAGATAGGTTTTTCTTAATTTTGTACATCTAGTAATTAATACCTGATGACAGGACCCGCCCCGAATCCCTTGGAACCTGGGACGAATCCTATGGAATTTCCGACATCACACCGATGCCGGGCCCACCTACTAATACTATATAGCTTCTTTTTCAAATTAAGGAAAAGGGGCACGAGACCTTCTGCCGGCAGAGTCTCTCCTGAAAAACAGACATTTCCCAAAAGTTTTACCCTGTTAAAACACAGTTATAACTCAACCGACAGAATGCACAAGTCAAAAACATGCAATTTACATAAAAGGCCTCCGGCCTTCAAATAATTCGTGTCAGAACCACCATCAACACTCTTAAGTCAAATAATGAAATTAAACAATGCAATTAATGAACTCAAACTAATTTATGCATGCCCACCGTAATTAATATAAAAATAACTTTAGTTCGCGGCTGCACCTAGGTAAGACCCCAGGCTACCTACGTACCCCTTTGTGAGGGATCAAGCCATACGTAGTTCTAAATACAAAAATCCTTGTTCAAATAACATACAATCCTTTTCAACAATACTAATAAGTAAATTCTAGAATTATCCCTTTCCCCTTAATTTAAATCACGTCATACCCATCATAATCCTTTTTAAACATTAATCTTTCCTCGACATAGTATAATAATCCATTTTTCAAGAAGACAAACATATATGCATACATATAACACATGTTTCTTACATTTTTTTCTATCAGGATTTTGAAGGAATCCTTATGACGCCATACTCTACTGCGTTTCCAAGGCTCCTTTGACTCTAGACGAACAATTTCTCTTCCCATTCCCCGAATCAGGTCATGCATTTGGACCTTGTCACCAAACATCTATCGATGAGATTTTGAATGGCAAAAATTGTAAAGAACTCACATCCGTCTAGTATTTTACAATGTAATCTTTGTCCTTTCCGATAAAGAAACAAGCAAAATGGAGGAATAAGTTTCAGTCATGATCATCTTATGGCAAAATATTCATCCACGGTTTGTGGACAGTCGCTTCTTTCTTCGTGAGGGAGAAGACCGAGTGATTAGAAAAAGGGTGAGAAAGAAGCAAGCTGCGGTGACGAGTAACTTCCAGCCACAGAGACCGCCGGAGTTATTGCTGCCTGTGGTGGTTGCAACTGTGATATCATCCTGTTGCACTTCTTCTTCGTCTGGAGAACATACAAAACAAGAGAAAACCTCCTTTGGAAAACATATATACAAGTGAAAATCCCAACAAATTGGAGAGGAAACTTGTTTTTGAAATGAATAGGGGCTGACCTGTGAATAGGAACTAACGAAATATAGATTCATTTATTATTTTGTTTCATTTTATATTTGGGTATAGTTGGAGTAAAATTATGAAATGCGTCAATAAAACATCACACCTGCTTTATCTTCTTCATCAGAGTCCCCACGGCACTCATCGAACCATATTTGATCATCATGAGAAGAAATACTCATCATATTATGATTCTCTTCTTGTTGTACCTGCACAAGCTGGATGCCCAACTCCTTTACCAGAAACCCATATTTCATAATTACAGAAACAACCACTTCATCGCCACCTTCTAAATGAACATCCTCCAAATTCCAGTGGCTTAACCATACCATGTCTTCTCCTTCACCTGGCATACCGTAGTGTAATGGGAAATACGCCCTCTTCAGACCGTTGCTCTTATTTTTGACTCTTATATGTGGCAAATCATTGTAGATAATAGGATAATCATAGCCAGCATTCACATAGACAACAAACAGTCAATATATTAAGATTTTCTTGAAGTTGCATAAGCTGGATGCCAAACTCCTTGACCTGAAGCCAAGGTTGCATTATTACTGAAACAACCACTTCATCGCCACCTTCTAAGCGAATCTGCTCCTCCAACTTCCAGAGGCTTCACCATATCATGCCTTCGCCTTCACCTGGAATACCGTAGCATTGTGGGCAATAGATCCACTTCAGACCCTTGCTCTTATTTCTGACTCTAGTCATTATTGGCCCAGGTAAAGCGTGAGCAGAACCATTGTCATTGCCATGTTTTGTGTAGACAGCGAAGACCTTCAAGAATCGAATTCTGTGATAATAATCACGTAATGGCACTGTAAAAGATATCGGGGACTTTGTACTTCTATGGCTGAACTGACCTGGAACCTCATTCCCAGCAAAAAAAGTGCAGTATATACCATTTTCATACAATCCCTATACATATAAAATGTAAATGACAATATTATAAGTCAATTCTTTCGAGAGAGAGAGAGAGAGAGAGAGAGAGAGAGAGAGAGAGAGGTGCACACCTGGATGGGAATTGGATCATCATTTCGAAAGTATTGTGTATACATCTGAATGGGTGCCATTGATTCGAACAAGTTGCACAATCCCGCGAGGTTGATCATTTCTACATCAACTCTACCAATGTGTTGTAACTTGTAACTGTACAGCCACTCAACTAGGTCGTAGTTGCCACATAATTTTGTAATGCTATATTCCGAGGATGAAGAGGATTGATACGTTATTTTCTCCAATGATATGCAATTAGTGATATCCAAGTCCTTTAGTTTTGGTAACCCGAGAAGCGATTTGAGACTTGTACACTTGGAAAAAGAGAGTTCATCGAGCCTTGTTAATCCTTTGATACAATTTGGTAGGCTACCAATTGGATTATTCCCTAGATTTAGTCTCTGCAATGAGGACAAATTTCCATAGGAAATGCATCATCCAAAAGATTGCACCCCCAAAGACTTAATTCCACTAAAGAGCATGGTAAAGAACCCAAGATACTCAAACTTCTTTCTAGCCATAATTCACTTATCGGAATTCCATCTGTCTTAAGCACTTTTAATGAGTTCATGTTCCTCAGCATCTCAATTGATAACTCATTAAGATTTGAGCAACCAGATATAATAAATGTTTCAAGTGATTTTAGCACACAAATGTTCTTTGGAAGCATCCTAATCTTTATGCAATCTCTCATATTCAAGTAAATGAGTCTCTCTAGGTTTCCAATGGATCCATGGACATAAATCAGGCTCGTGCAGTCTACTAGAATCAATTTCTCTAGATTTGGGCAATATGAGAAGTCAATGGTTTCTGTAAGGGAATGAGAATGGCTGAGATCAAGGATCTTCAAGGACGGAAGATACTGTAGGGGAGAAAATGTACAGAAGAAAACAATGTGGGGAGTTAATTGTTATAAATATATAATTTGTTATCAAACTAAAAACCTAATGAAAATGAAAAAGAAATTGAAAAGAGTAGAGAGTAACATACTTTTGTTCCCTTGAATACTTGTCTCAGACCGCTGTATTGCATTTCAAGAATAATAACGCTTTCCAAAGGAAAATCAACGGGTATAGAATCCAAAGGAAACTTAGTCCAACACAACCATCTTAGTCTTGTACAAAATTCTGCATAAGATCCGTTAAGTTGTACATGACTAAGATGGAGTAGTTTTAGTTCCCGCATCCTTGAAAATGCATTGGTTTCCAAGACTTTCTCATTTGAGTTTATAGTAGGGCACATGTGCATGTCGAGGACAAGACCTTCAATTGTTTCTGTACCCTACAAAAGAAAAGGAGAAAAACATTTGGAAAATATTTACAAGAAGAAAAACATATATATGTGTATAGAGAACGCATATTTCTTACATTCTTTTCCGTCAAGATTCTGAAAGAGTCCTTATGATGCCATACTCTACTACGCTTCCAAGGCTCATTTGATTCTAGGCGAACAATTTCCCTTCCCATTCCACGAATTAGGTCATGCATTTGCACCTTGTACCATTCATCAATAATCACCAAACGTCTATCGATGAGATTTTGAATGCCAACAATTGTATAGAAATCACATCCATCTAGTTTGTCCTTTCCGATAAAGAAACAAGCAATGTGGAGGAATGAATTTCGATCATGGTCATCTTGTAAAGAGTCATAGCTTACTCTTAGTTTATTTACTATTTCACCATTTGGAATGGCTTCTAACTTCTCTAGTGCACTTTTCCATACATCTATACTATTCCCCAAGTACATAGAAGAACCTAAAACTTTAAGAGCTAATGGAAGTCCTCCGCAATGATCCACTATTTTTTGCGAATATTCTATGTAACCTTCAATGGGATGGTCCTGACCAAAAGCGTGCCAACTAAAAAGCTCCAATGATTCCTTGTAGTGCAAAGTTTCAACTTCATACACCTTAGTAACTTGATGAGCCCTTAACAATCTTGCATGCCTAGTTGTTATTATGATTTTACTTCCTGGATAAAACTGATCTTTCATCAGAAATACTGCATCTAATTGATCCATATAATCCACATCATCGAGAACAAGGAGAACCCTCATAGAGCTTATTGCATCTTCAATTTCACTTAATCCTTCACTAACATTGTTTATTTTTACTTTTCTCCCATTCAAAATATCAGAAAGAAGCTGTGTTTGTATTTGAACTAAGCCATTGGGTTGCTGTGAAACTTCTTTTATGTTTTCAAGGAAGCTGCTTCCTTCAAACCTTCCAAAGTTTGAATTATAAACAGACTTTGCAATGGTTGTCTTCCCTATTCCACTCATGCCACAAATTATAAGTATGCCAACATCATCTGATCTATCTTGTAACCATAAATTCAATTCGTTGACTTGAGAATGCATTCCGATCATGATGTGGGGAACACTTAGGCGTCTACGCCTTAGTTTTCCTCGTATCACTTGGACAATCTTGTTGATAAACTTTCACTCGTGTCTGAAAAGTTGCAATCCAAATGAAAAAAGAATTCAAACATCCTTGCAGTAGTATAATCCGTCAACTAAGTTGACTTTTCCATCAATTTGTGCACATCTTCTCATTTGAAAAACCCAACTTTCAGATTTGTTTGATTTGCTTAAAATGAGCTTGGGGTTTCTGAAAAACATTCTTATAGAATTG